TCTTGGACACATTATATGGTTGTTCGTCATCGTATAGAGTATCTGTAGAAGATAGACCGTCGCTTTTTTTTAAATTTTATTTCGGAACTGTGTCGTATGTTCTTAAAAAAGGGAGAGATATACACTAGCCGTATCAAGCTTAAACAGCAAAGCTGGTTGATCTGTGTACCCTAATAAGTCCTTATTGGCTGATGCTTTGTCTTCCCTTGGCACAGACGGAGTAGAGTCGAACCACAGCCTGTCACAGGCCGGGCAAGAATGTCCAGTCTCCAGCGCCCCAAACCAACGTGCAAAGCTGGCGGTGGCGCACCGACCTTTCGTTGCTCGTACAACTCGGCTCACGCGGCAGGCAAGCTCGGCACGGTGGCTGCGCCGACTGTCTCCGTCGGTAGGAGCGGCTTATAAGCAATGGCGCGAAGCGTCTTTACTCTATAGCGTTAAGAGCTTCGCTCTTAAGAATACAACGCGAACAATTGAATACGAATTGAAAGGCTTACGGAGAAGAATAGATAGAAAAAGAAAGCGCGCGCTATCTTCTTATTCCCTAATGAAAATGAATTTTGAGAGTCTAATGTGCAGCTAATGCACACCTAATGAGTCATTAGATTGACACTAGACCTGCAAAGCCTAATGTCTCTTAGCATCAGGTGTGCAATGGAGACTCGGATGACAACATGCAACAGGATTTCTGATCATCAAAGTACGCAGATTTTCCAGTGCGTCTCCTAATGTCAAAACACATCACAATGAAAAAAAAAATTGCGTTAATCTCTTATAGCCAACGAAAACTGCGTGCACGTTAAAGAACCCCAGGTGGTCGAAATTTCTGGAGCCCTTCACTACAGCGTCTCTCATAATCATATGGTGGTTTTGAGATGCTAAACCCCACATATCAATCAAAGCCAACAAAAACTCTCAATTTCTTACTACTAAATGTAATAATCGCGGAATTCTAGATCCCCAAACCACTATATGATTATGAAGAACGCCGTAGTGGAGTGCTTCAGAAATTTCGACGATCTGTGATTTCTTAACGTGCACCTAAGACTAATTCAATTACTTGCTCATCTCGACATTCACGTACATGTTGTCTTTCGGAAATCTAAAACACTAAACAGTTTGTATTCCCATAGATTTTCGATCATGTTTCAGTAAATATAACATGAAGAGACTGATATAACATGAAGACATGAAGAGAATGTGTAAATCAGCTACACAATAATAATAATAATAATAATAATAATAATAATAATAATAATAATAATAATAATAATAATAATAATAATAATAATAATAATAATAATAATAATAATAATAATAATAATGTAGGGTCTCTTATGCATTCACGTAAAACAACTCGAAGGCGATAGCCATCTCTTTCTTTTTTCCAATAAGTCGATGTGTTCATCCTGCCGCCCTTCGAAAATTTTCTGCAACTAATGTGGTTACGCATTGCCTCCCCCGTTAAAGACGCCGTTTTGCGTAGCAAATCAGCCAGCCAGCCAGGATTGGGTGCGATGTAATACGACTTTATCATGTGACGCTATAATGACACGTCATCCCGTGGTGATTATTTATTGCATGCATCTATTGTTGCCTACATTGCAGGATGCAAGACGCTCAACGGTCAAATTTTACATTTAATGATGCATCAAAGTTGTGATTTCATTATTAATCAATGATTTATTATTTACTTATTCGTGTAGCGTGCCCAGAAACAATCATAAGGTTGTACAGGCACATCTAAAACAAGAACAACTATTATTATTATTATTATTATTATTATTATTATTATTATTATTATTATTATTATTATTATTATTATTATTAATGATTGGATATTCGTGCCAGAAGCACGATGTGGAGGCAAACATTGCTGGGGCATTCAGGGGTGCTTTCCACCACCTTGCGCGCATACATCTTGAATATGTATTTAAAACTAACAAGCATAGCGTCGATCGCTTACGCTGGAGCGGTACGCCAAACAGTTGCATAAACGCGCCACTTTGCCATTTGCATGGAGGGGGATGGTTCCATTAGCCGATCAGTGGACACCGATGATTGATCGATTTGGGGGATTTAACGTCCCAAAACCACGTTATGATTATGAAAGACGCCGTAGTGGAGGGCTCCGGAAATTTCGACCACCTGGGGTTCTTTAACCAAATCTGAGCACACGGGCCTACAACATTTCCGCCTCCATCGAAGATGCAGCCGCCGCAGCCGAGATTCGATCCCGCGACGTGCGGGTTAGCAGCCGAGTACCTTAGGCACTAGACCACCGTGGCGGGGCTCAGTGGACACCGAGGACAACACAGGAGATAAACTCATCGTATCGTTGTAGTGAGCATTTGAAAGCGTATTTAAATATCAGTCACACTTTTACAGCAAAAATGCGGCTGGGAGCGGCAGCTGCCAAATGTGTGCCACTCTCCCCCTTCCCCGCCACCGGTAGGTGGTGGAGAGCGTAGGCGTGATGGAGAGGGAAAGAGAAGATTTAATGAGCATTCATGCCACCCACCCCGCCACTGTTTTGCTGCCACAACCCTAGCTGTCACGCAGAGAAAGCGGCGTACTGCGGTAAAAAAACAAACAAACAAAAAAACAAGGGAGGGTAAGGAAAGGAATCCCTCGTTGATCTCGGGAAGGAGGGCGGGGGAGCAGGCAAACAGTCATTTTGCTCTATGTATGCCACGCCGAAAAAAAAAAAGTTCGCCCGAAAGGCGTGGGGAGGGGGGAGGGCAGAAAGGGGTAACGGACTCGGTGTGACAGCCCCTGGCTAGGCCACTGCGTAGAGATGTAAAGCAACGGACACCCGGTCAGATACCTTTCTTCTCTGTAGAGCAGGAATGCATGCCATTCATTCTTTTCTGCACATGAACAAAACTGCAGCTGCAAAAGCATTGCCTCTGAGATCTGTACTTATTGGCCTTGTGTTGCGGAGACTCAGAGATGACCATCGCTTTTGACATGAGTTGGGAAACCTTTTTTTTATGCAAAACAAAATACATACAACTGCATAACTACATATAGTGCAAAATAATAAATTAGAAAGCTTCATTAGGCTTGAAAAGTTATGAATACACTTGATTGTTATTGTAAAATATTTGTATTGTGATACGTTAGTGCTGCCGCCTGCACACTTATTTTTGTTAAGCTTGTAAATCAGCAGTTGCAACAGGCCTCGTTGTACTGCAGGCTCACCACCAGCTTCACGCAGAAACATGTGCTAGAAGTCCGCGCTTACATAATTGCCATGTTGATAGATATTGCGTGCATTGTATGCTTATACTCCTTTGGAATTCGTCTACAGGATAGTTTCCGCGTGTCGGGAAGTTCTGCTGCTTTGATCGAGTCGCGGACTATGACTCGCCGTACGTGTCCGCTCCTAACAGCCATATCGGACGCGCGCCTTGTGTTCGCTCTGAAAAGTGATTTCTTCCTCCATTTATCGATTACTCGTGTTGTTCGCGTGATTCAATGTTGAGTGTACTTCCGCGGACAATCCACGACCCCTTCTGTGTCAACAAGTGACTGATGTTATGCGAGAGCGTGAGCTTTTTGACGGGTGACTGAAGAGTGCTCAGCCAATGTCAAAACTTCGGTAAGTTGAAGAAAGTTGCTGAACTACGTAACTGGGTTACTTCATTGTGTGACAAATGGTATGCAGGAAGCGGTGGCCCGGGCGGCTTGTTGGCACAGCGAGGATGACGAACCAGAGTACCGATAGGCAGGTATGTTTTGAGGTGGCTTATTTTATATCAACGTAAGAAACAGACGCTGTGTGCGTTGATTGCATGTTTTGAAGATTCGCGTTGCGCTACGTGATCTATCCTTCGGTCATGCAAGCCTCTTGTCGTGCTGTTATTTCTTGGCTGTTTACTGCACGAGATATCCTTTGATTCCTTGTCGCCCTGTAAGAGTGTCTGCATTTAAACATACTGGTGTCGCGAGAGCAGTTCACGTTCACCCAATTTGATTGTTTGTGCGTTTTTACGCGCAAAACAATCACACGACTAGGCACGTAGATAGAAAAATGCACAGCCCTGTCAAGCACACACGAAGGATGTTTTCGTGGCTGCGCTCCGAATCCTTGGGCCAAAAATCTATGTAATTTCTCTGTGGTAAGAATTTCACCCTAGCTGCCTCATAAATATTTTAAGAGAGCTAACTTGAAGAATACGTATTTTAGCAATATACACTATGTGCCGAAACTAAGAGTACACTTCTACCACTGCATTGAAGATATGTCGATATCGAGTGTTAGTAGAAGAATATATGAATTCAATTTAGTTAATTAAGCTAATACATGACACCCATTGTTGCAATATTTGTGGGAACTTTTCTTAGCTATATAAATCTTTGTTTTCTCCTTGAAGCATACCAGGTGCTCCATCACAAATAACTTGCACTGTGCTCATAAACTGTAATTGTTGCTTGATTGTGTGGTGCTTCAAGTTGTATTTTTGTGCTTTCTTTTTTACATTAGTGTTGTACTGATATCGCCTACTTGCTTGTGTGACGAGGATGTAAACCTATGTGTAGCATTCAGGGATTTAGTATTTATTTTGTTTTGTGAGGCAGTAAATTAGAAGCAAAAAGATCTTATTCATATGTTTCCAGATGTTGACAGAAAGTTTCAGAATATTAATATTTCTGCAAAGGGCTTATGTAATAAAAGAACTCCTACAGATAGCTTGTGTGAACAAAAGTCAAACTACATAGGAATTCGCTTTAGAGTACCAACAGTTTGTTTCCTGAATAGCTTACATTTATGATGTAATGCAATATGTATGGCTGCCTCTTACACTCGCCGTGTGCGCATAAATCATGCACTCTTTGCAAATATTGTTTTCATCATTTAGATCACCCATACACATGTGCATGCTCTGCATAGTGTTATTACGTAGTTTTGTGAATGCGTAACATTCAGTGGCACTCTGTCAATTGTCAGCAAGGAGGGGCTAGTTCAATATTGCCTGTTCTGATTGTGCCATGATCCCTTTATTCAAGGATTTACCCTTTAATGTATCAGTATACACTTTGCTAAGACATGTTTGGTACTCGCTATCTTTGTGTGATATAACCTTTGTTGTGTGTGAAAGTAATCTTTTGTGGTATCTTTTATGTATGTATCAGCAATGGCAGCTGTTCAGGGTCCTGGCACAGAGGACAGGTTGCAGTGCACGATTGGAGCGGTCTTCCTGCAAGCCCTGACAAGCCTTATTAAGTGGTAGGCATTTCTTTTTGTTACCACAGAGTGATAGTTCGGACACATAGCACCTATGTAGGTATAGCATACACTGTCTTTTAGCTTAGGTGTGGGAAGCCTATGTCGTGCACTTCAGTTCAGTATTCCTTGGACATGGAACATGCATCATTTGGTTTGTAATCCTTGAACATGGAATGTTGTTGGAGCCAACGTTGCGACACTTGAAGGCGTCTTGATAATGGGAACAGCTGTTCATTGTCACTGCTGTCTTGAGCAAGGCAAGAGTTCTTGTTAAAAGGTTGCACAAGGGAAAACATTCGCCATTGTTTGTTAAACGTTAGGTAATATTTAGCTTAATATAACACAAGAATGAGACCGGTGCTTTTTGAACAAAATTGGTTATTGCAACAGAAGCACAAAAATTTACGGCGTGAGGCTCACCCTGTGTTTTTTTAGGCTTCAGTTGCAATTAATCATTTTATATAAAGTTAGGGCACGTGCGGCGTCCTCTCTCATGGTCTTTGTGTTAGGTTGTGCTATATATCACACAAGTTAGAAAGTTGGCTGCAGCGACATTCCCTCTTATAGGATTTGTTGGTCTTTTCAAGTTTCCTCCATCAACATCTATTTTGTTTGGACTGCCATGAAACTGTGTGCAATGAAATCTTACTTATAATCATGTTTCACTTATTGTCGTGATGATTGCTTTTACCCTAAATGTTTTTTTAGTGGAAACAAAAGATTTCTTTAAGATCTTTTTTTTACAAGTAGAAGTGTCATTCATTTTTTGTGCTTTTTAAAGGAACAGCAAACAACAATGAAGCTTAAAAGTTTAATGAATTTAAATAAGCAAACTTTTGCTATGTGCACATTCTGCCCAAAGAATTTGGCGAATTCGTGTTTAAGGAAGTTACAGGGGTTGTTTCGGCTCGTTTTCAAATTTTCACGTGTATGAGCAGATTTGTGGTATTTTTATAAGTTGTAGTGCAATCTTGTTTTAAGTAACATCATGCAACATGCTAGTACCTATTCCTTTCTAACAAAGCCTTCTCAGATAATCGTTATGCCTGAGAGTTTGATCATCTGAATTAGGGACAGCTTTTCTTGGGAGGCAGCACATACTCATGATTCATCACATTTTTTGGAACATGTTCCCACTACAATCTATGAAAATACCATGAATGTGTTTATGTAACACAGCTCACAAGACATGGAGGCCTATCATACAGAGAAGTGTAATCTGTGTGATAGTGCCTTGAATAGCCTCGTTGGACTGCAAAGTCGAATTGCTGAATAAATTCATGCTCTTTTGGAAGTACAGTACTCGCGGATTGAAACAGGACACTCGGAGTGTGTCGCCGGTGGTACATGTGCCGTCGCATGTGGGTGCGCATAGAACCAATGTGTTGCGTTGTGGTATAGGGCGGTAGGGGGAAGACCTATGAAGCAGGACTACTCCTTTTGATTGCCACATTGTCCGCCTGTAGTTCACCATGTGTACACTGCCAAGGCAGCGCTGCAAGGCTCGCGCACATTCGTATGTCGACCAAACTGGCTCGCCGCGGTGCACCACGTTTATCGCCGCACCAGCAGACGACCCTCTCGTTCTGCATGCTTGGGCAATGCAGGACGCATGCTTTGCAAGTAAGACGCAGGATTCAGTTAGTAGACTGCGCCTTGTGTGCATTTGTAGACATGATAAACATCTGCACAAAAGCATGAAAAGTTTACTTGAAAAGTCATTGTTTTGATGCTGCATGGAAACAGGCCCCTGGCTGGTGCTTTCCTTTTTCGTCGTGACAAAAAGCTTGAAAAACTTTTTATGCTTTTGTGCAGTTATTTATCATGTCAACGAGCGCATTTCAGGCGCGACATCTTAGCGGTATCCAATTTCTTACTTGCACAGCCTATGTGCCCCATCGTCAAAGGGCGCCGATCTAGAGCGTCATCTACTTGCGTCATAATATAAATGGTTCGCACCAACCCCATCGATTCAGGCTGCATGCATGCAAAAATGCGCGAGCCTTGCAGCGCCACGCTGGCAGTGTGCACTTTGTGAACTAAATGCCAACTCTTCAGCGACCGGAATGAGTTAGCCTGCTCCGTAGCTATTTTTGCCCTCACTCCATACAACAGTGCAACATCCTGGTTCCGCGAGCACCCATGAGCGGCGGCACATGCATTGGCGGCCACGCCTACGAATGTCCTGTTTCAATCCGTGAGTACTGTACATATATGTTGATCATACTGGGCATGTTGGTACATACTTGGGAGGAAACAGGAGAGCAAGCAAATACATGGACTGCTCCCCTGCATCCATTATTCTTTCTGTGTCGGCGTCTTAGCTCATGATGTTTTTCACTCCTGAGTGTAAATTTTATTTCTTCGCTAAGCTCGTACATAGACTCTAAATTGTATTATCTCTGTGACGTGTGGGTTCAGGAGCTATTTTTGGCATCTGCATGGTCTAAAATAGTCATGAGTTCAACACTGTGATGTGCTCTTTCCTTAAATACTTGAGTAACGCAAGTGTTTGGTCAGGTTGGTAATTCATCGCCTAGAAACTTTTGTAAGGTACAGCAAAATATCAACTGACAAAAGGGAGAGGACACAAAGTAGTGCTAGCTCGTGTTGTCACCCTTTTGATTGTGCATGTTTTTTCTGCTGTTGAAAGTTTTCTTTAGAAAGAGTTCGTATCCTTGTCCTATCAAGACGTTCAGCAAGTGCCAACACACCCCTGTGTGGATTCTTGTGCTTGTTATAATGACCAGCGGTCAATTTCATAATTTGCAATACTGGCTAGTGAACATGGGCATTTGTGCATTCTATAGCATGGAGCTAGGTAAAAATACTTCCTTTTTTATAAAACTTTGGTCACCTTTTCACCGTGAAGATGTGACCAAATACATAAATAATGTATTTTCAGCTATTGAACAGTATGAAAAAGTAATCAAGGGTAAAAAAATGTTTTGCTTGCTTCCTCCAATATGTTGTTTGTAGAAAGATGTGTAGAAATGACCTGTAACATGTTACAACATGCATATCTGTGGAATATACTGTAGGTTACAAAAAGCACAATTTTTTAATTGTTTTCACTAGAGTTGTGTAGCTGTATTACCTAGACGTAGCTCTACATTTCATGTGCCTGTTTGTTGCTGAATTTCACCTTGCACATAGGCGTGCGCATAGGAGTGGGGGGCAGCCCCCTCTCTCCCAACTTGTTACCTAAGACGGGGGCTTCAAAATTGGAAACTTACTTAACTAAGTAAAGGGGAGTGCCGTGGTGAATCTCCCCACCACCCAAGTGTAGGGAAACCCTGCACACGCCTATGACTTTGCACCTCTGAGCATGAGCCCTCGATAGTTCTCAGTTAAAGAAGAGGGGTTTTAACGTGGAAGTTTTGTGTAAAACAAAGTTGTGGAATAGACCCACTGTTGCATGACTTAGTCATCCATTGGGTGCCATTGGAATCGTGAAAGGAGGTGATTCTGCAATATTGCCTTATAGAAGCTGACTTAGCTGATTCGTCTTCTCCAATTACTGATCAATCGGCAGCCCTTTGAACTGATGTATAGTGGTTAGTTTTTTTTTTCAACGCAGCATGAGGTCAAGGCTATGTGATTCCACATTGAATCCAGATGGATTATTTAATATAAGTGATAAATATATATCACTATTTAGAAAAGGCCTAACTCATCAATTGCAATGTCTATTCATGTGCTGCACTAAAATGTATCTTCAGTGCCTTCTAAGTTTTTATGTTCTCTCTTGCAGGTTTTAAATACAGCAGCGGTGTCACCACGACGGTGCTACAAGAGACCCTATCATCAGTGCAAAGTAGAAAATTAAATACAAATGCAGTTATTCCTGGAAATGTCTCATTTGGTGTTTCTTTGTTTGTAATTATAAAACAGCACTTTTGCAAGAATTGTAAACAAGGACGAACTAGCTCCATTTATTGTCCTATCGGAACTGAATTGCTTGACAATGTAATGCGTGTTTCCAAACGCAGGCATTATATACTTGCAGCATTATTTATTGGCCTCGAAAGATTCTGACATGTAAAAAACAATGATCTGTTTGTTGGTGGAAATGGTCTGATGGTATTTCCTTTACAATTCTGTAATGTGTGCACACATTCATATTAATAATGAAGTGATTTATTGCTCTGCTTTTCAGCAAATGTTCTGTTGATGGCATGGGGCCTTAGTCTACAATCCGACGTTTGATGTCAACCTAACGCATATATCGATGGCACTTCACTAGACAACGGCCATCAGAAACTCTGATGTCGGGACTCTATAGACTAACGCTAGCCAATGGTCATCAGAAACTCTCATGTCGGACCTCTATAGACTTACGCTAGACTATAGTCATCAGAAACTCTAATGTCATAACTCTATAGACTAACGGTGGCCAATTACTACTAGACACATTAGGTACGCATTAGGAAAACGCATTAGACTGATATTAGACAGTTTAACTATTGTGATGTCGAATGACATTAGCCTGTTTATAAAAGTACATTAAATTTTTTCATAAGGGTTATCACCTTCTTTCGTTGTTCCGTAATCATGTACAGAGTCAATTTTTATGAAAGGGAACACGGGAGCGCGTGGCCTGCGTGCTCCGGTGGCTGCTGGCAGCGCCTTCAACCGGGAGCGAAAGAAACCACAGCCTCTTTTCGCGTCATCTCGCGGCGAGCAAAAATCTATTCCTTGCTGATATGGAACCAGCGGCAAGATTGCAATGACCTCACCCTTCAAGGTGACTACCAGCCTTTTGCGTAGTCACCTTGAAGGGTGAGGTGATTGCAATCTGGCCGTCGGTTCCATATCCGCATGGTTTTTTGCTCGCCGCGAGATGACGCGAAAAGAGGCTGTGGTTTCTTTCGCTCCCGCTTGAACGCGCTGCCAGCAGCCACCGGAGCACGCAGGCCACGCGCTCCCGTGTTCCCTTTCATAAAAATTGACATTGTACATGATTATGATGCCCACCGTGGTGTTGGAGTTCGGCTGAAGTTTGACCGACGGAGGTTCTTTGACGTGCACCTAAATTGTTGTACAGGGGTGGTTTTTGTGTGTAAACCCCTCAAATTTATTATTTCCTTTTTCTGTCTGTATTATCCTTTCGTTTGCGCTGACTCTACAAACCATCTGTAAACAACACCAACTAGCCTGCAGTTTGTTCTCTCTCTTTCCATTTTCCATAGATCACTTTATATGTTCGTCTTCTCTTTGTAAGGTTGTTGAAAAAAATGTTTTTTTTTTGTCATTCCGTATGTTAATCTTTGGCTTTATATGTACTTTCATCTTGAATTTGGTTTATACCCGTGCCACACGGGCAGAGAAAATGGCATTTACCTCCTAATACCTTCAGGTTGATTGTCATTCGTGCGGTGCCACGCGGATTAACTAAATTACATTCACTCAAATGCCATTCATCACATAATGCCATCGCCAGAACTCATTCGACTGAGAAATGCGTACTCTCGACGGCACAGCTAATGAAGTAATTGTATAAAATGACGTTTGATTCGACTGGAAGGAGACTTTTCGCGTATAATATTTACACTAATCACTTAAACAAGTGCTTAAAACGTATCTTCAGCTGGTAGACGCTGTAAGGTAAATGCGACAGGCGCCATTTTCTTTTTACGCTGCGAATATGACTACCTTTGGCTGAAGTTGCTACATGGACGGTTGCAACGTCGTGAAACAAAGTAACGAACGAAATCTAACGGCAGCGTAATATGCTTATTTGTACATTTATTTATTATCTGATGTGTGTGAAGCTTGTAAACGCTTGTTTATTTTTTATTGCTACTCACCCAATACTCACGAGGAAGGTGCTGCGATTGACATCATCAAGTCAAATGTCATTCGGGAACTGCATGCCTTTGCTACCAAATGTCATTTTCTATGCCCGTGTGGCACGGGTATTACAGCGCAACACACATACACTAAGAAGGAGCAAAAGAGAAAGAAAAGACGGCACCGGTTCTCAATTGATTTTTATGGAAAATTGAATTGTGAAACACATATATAGAAAAATTAGAAAACCGTGCCATGCGCAAGACACATAAAACATTCCGGCAGCGTTGTTATACATACAGATAATCAATATCGACGCAAGTAATCAAATTTCTTCTCGTGCAGAAAAACTGATGCTTCACTGATACAGTTCTTGACTCTAATCGAATAAGTTTCATCAATTTCCATTGTTGATTGATTCGCGTGTTTAAAAATGACGGGGGTTTTGTTAAAAATATTACGACACGCACATGACCTGCAGTGAACCGGCCGATGAATTTGCGCAACCCCTTGAAGTGAGAGCTCATGCTCTCTCAGCCGAACATTGACACATCGCTTAGTTTGTCCTATACGTACTCGCATCTGCCCGATGATTGACAATGCTCTGAAGGACAAGCAGGGTAAAGGCAAGTGCACTGTTAATCACAGGTACAAGTACATCACGTGTGGCAAAGCAGTTGTGTATGCCATTGTATTATCATGTGGAGGGGAGTATGGTTAGTACAAACTAAGCGATGTGTCAATGTTCGGCTGAGAGAGCATGTGAGCTCTAACTTCAAGGGGTTGCGCAACTTCATCGGCTGGTTCACTGCAGGTCATGTGGGTGTCGTAATATTTTTAACAAAACCCCCGTCATTTTTAAACACGCGAATCAATCGACAAGGGAAATTGATGAGACTTATATCGATTAGAGACAAGAACTGTATCCGCGAAGCATCCGTTTTTCTGCATGAGAAGGAATTTGATTACTTGCGTCGATATTGATTATCTGTATGTATGACGACGCTGCCGGAATGTTTCCTGTGTCTTGCGCATAGCACGGTTTTCCATAGGCTTGCTATGTATGTGTTTCACAATTCAGTTTCCCATAAAAACAGTTGAGAGCCAGCGCCGTCTGTTCTTTTTTTTTTTTTTTGCTCCTTTCTTGTGTCTATGTTTCTGGTGTTACGCTGTGAACCAGTTTCGCGATGAATCCCAATCAACTGACCCAACTACTCGTGGCCTTTTCTGCTGTTCGTTTATTGCTCGCGGCATGGAAGCGTAAGTGGAAACACGCTAAAAAGCTGAGCTAGGGAATGAACAGCTAATATAACCGGCGTAGTCTTCTCTGCACTTGAGAAGCTGACGATTGCTTGTCAGGCGCATCAGCAAACAAAATGAAAATGGGCCGGCTTTGTGTCTAGCGTACTGTCAAATACGGGTTTCTTTATGACAGACGTAGTTCAATGAAGCAAAGAAGTGTAAAAAATTTCAAGGTCTTGTGTGTGTGTGGGGGGGGGGGGGGTTGAAGAGTATCGGATTGGGTCAGGTGGTACTCCATGATTAGTAACGTAATAGTGCCGCAACAACACAAGAGACGCAGACCACCGCTAACTTTGAACTGGGCTTTATTGCGAAGTGGGGGTGTATATATGTAGGTGGTGGTTGTGGGGACTAAAAGAACGAAAATAGGTAGACGCGTGTCAATAACGCATCAACAGAAAGCACAGCGCTTGTACCAACGTGGCAAGTAAACGAAAACAAAAGAAAAGAAAAAGGAAAAACGAAAAAGACGAACCCCTCAAGAAATCCGAAAATAACCCGGCCGGTGTGAGCGGATGTGTGAACCCGCGCTTTCCAAAAACGCGATTTCTTTATCACTGAGTGAAATGGATGGCTCGCTCGCGCAAGATCACGTGCCCCTCCCGCTTGATCTGAGCTGCTTCCACAATGATGCGGGTGCGCTCATGATTGTACCGGTGTGAAACAGCGGTATTATCAAAGACCGGATGACGCCCACACTGATCGCAGTGACGAGCCAGGAAACCACACCTCTTGTTCCGGACGTTATTCGCACGTCGTTCAAGTCAGTCCGTCCAACGTAGGAGGCACCACACGACAGAGGAATTCTGTAAACCACCCCGCACACACTGTCCACGAGCCAGTCGCGATGCTTCACCTTGCATCCAAAGTATCGTCTCATAACAGCCCTGTTATGACATGTGATGTTATGACAGCCCTGTTATGACAAGCGCTGACTTCGCACAGTACACATGACTTCCGGCATCTGTCGAAATGTAACTACCGCAGCTCGGATGGAACTCGCGACCTTCGGGTCAGCAGACGAGCAGGGTAACCACCATGGCAGACGAGGACAACAAGTACACGACGCGTGTACTTTCTAAACGAATACATTCAAACTGGTCCGATCATCTACTTGATTGAGCTTTAGAATAGGTGCTCCGAATTCATTTTCATAGTAGTTAACGGTCGCGCATTTGATGACTGCCAGATACAATACTCACTCCTTCTCCCCGCAACAAACATTTAATGGATGCTCCCATCTTCGTCCATCGTTGCGTGTCTGCCTCTGTGGAACAGCGATTGGTTACAATGCTCGGCTGCTAACTCGGAGGCCGCGTGTTTGACCCCGGCTGTGGTGCTCGCATTCCAATGGAGGCGAGATGCCAGAAACCCGCGTGCTGTGCGATATATCAGTGCACGCTAACGATCACCATACATGGTCTAAATTTCCGGAGCCCTCCACTACGGAGTCTCACAAAATCATATCGTGGTTTTGAGACGTATAACTCTAGCTATCATTATTATTCCCCACTGATGTTTTCTATTTCTGTGTTCACTGCGTTTCATCTAGTTACCCACCTACAAGCTTAACAAGCTTGAGTGTCTAAAGGCTGTAGATTGAAACTTGCCACTCACAGGTCCTGCGAAGGCAGGCTGGCTGATCGTTGATCCTGCTGCGTGCACTTGACGATCGTAAAGGGCTTTTGTGTCGGAATTCACGACCCGAGCTGTACGTGCGACGCCTCAAGTATACATGTAGTGTGTGCGTTCGCCCGAA